TTACCCATTTAAATGCTGCTAATTCACATTCAGGTGTAATAAACGTGGAGGAAGAAAAGATTGAAGTGTCGTAAATAAATGTTCAAAACAAGATGAGCTTTCGTCATCGGAAATAAGTGCAACACCAAATGGTTTGAAATGTCTGTTACCATCAGACGCACCAAACACTAGCAGTGGCAATTCATTCCACGTTATTTTATACGTGGCATCGACTTGCAACAATTTGGTAAATTGAATTTGTTGAAATAATTTTTTCGTTGTAAAAAACACAAATAAATCATTCACATCATTTATATAATAGAATGGTACAAACGTTGAATATGATGAAGTTCCATCGCGATGATTATCACACCATTCTCGAAAGTCATGAATCGAACACATTTTAGGATGAGACTTTCGCCGTTTGGTTTGAATTAATGATGTTAATTTAATTGACGGTGCTGTTATATTTGGATAATCTATTGAGATAGAAGAACGAATTTGAGCTTCATTTAAACCTATACCAACATATTTTTCGACGGATTGTCGCACAGGAGATGGTAATCGGGATGTTTGGTTCCGTTGTTCGTGGTTGTGAATATCTTTGAACATGATTGTTATTGAGTTCGGCTCGTCATCTCTTACGGTTGCTTTAAGTTCGTAGTGACACAGTGGATACTTTCGATGTTGATTACATTTGTAGGAGTATTTTGTGCAATCTTTCAGATTACTTGTTCGATATTGGCAAGTACCATGGGATTTAGCAATAACCATTACTTCGTCCAACGATTTGACAACACACAAAAGATTCCAGTCTGACATCAGTCCTGATATTTTTACAAGTAAACATGATTATGAACCATTCAATATATATACTCGGCGTCTTGTCTATCGTTCATTTAACTGAACAATGATTGCTTTGATCATACGCTAACTGCTCTGATAATCCACTAGTTGCTTTGATCATACAATGATTTGTTTGATCTTTAACAACAAGCTGTATCTGACGAAAAAGTTGTTTCATTTGTGTGCAAGCATCTGACGAAAGATGATGAACAATTTCAACTGACAAAATTTGGTGATCAAAAGTATCTCAGAAATTTGGTGATCAGAAAAAAAAAATTTGGTGATCAAAAATATTGTCACCCAATATTTTCACTAGGGTAAAGTTTCATCATTCTTGAACATTGCATCGCCGATATATGAATCTTTCAAAATGTCAAGGTTTTACATTGTATATATCTAGAGAACACTGCCTTTTTTGAAAAATTTATAGTTCAAAGATGCAATGTCTGAAAATGATAACACTTTACACATGAGCTAGTCATAACAAAACCTTCATGTTGACAACGTTTTAAATCAAAATTTGAAGATATGATTTGAACCTGAACCTAACGTCCTATAGGAAAAAATCCACTGAAAATTCGATATTTCGACCAAATCTCAACAAGCGCGCAAACCCTTTGGAGATCATTCTAATCTAATCCTTCCCTATGTATAAGCATAATATGAAGGCAAACGGAGGAGTTCGGTTGGGAATGTTCCCTTGCAAGTGAAAGTTTAGTATTCTGTACTTATCTCTTTGAAAAATGACTTTCTTTTCATCGAAAAGTTTGCATCTTGTAGAGCTCATCGAGTTCCATTACAGAACACTAATCAAAACTATTAAACTTGAATTAGTGTAGAATTTTTCCTAGAATGTCGTGTTAGCTAGTTGAGATTTCAGTATTCTGATCTTATCGCAAGAAAAAAAACACTTTTTTGTTTGATGGAAGGTTTGAATATTGTATAGAGCATGTGATTGTATGAGACAAAGTTGACGCAATACATACGAAGCCACTGTACATCTTTATTGTTTTCTGTGCATTGAGATTTTAAAATTTCCATTGTAGTTAGTTGAGATATCTTTTTTTCCAATGCCTTCGTGTTTAGTTGTGTTTTTGCAGGATAATAGATAAATATGGATGGCATATCAGGCTGATATTGTGTCTTGATGTTCAGTTATCATCATGTGTATAGTTTTGGATTGTGTAGTTGTGAAGGGAAAATTTCGGAAGCGAATAATGTTGATGAAAATGTTTTGTTCCAATATTTGGTGGATGTTCCTTGCTGATCAGAGAAAGCATTCATAGTCTGGGTTTATGTGTCAATTTGAAGATTTTTTTTTCACTGTTTTAGTAAATGCTTGGTGCGTTGCGGAAAAATTGTGGAGCTGAGTCTAACTTTAGGCGAAGTTCAGTCGATGGGTAGCGTATTCATTTTTGTGAGATAAATGTCTTATATATGTTCACAATTCATCGGTGACTTGTGTTTGGTTCTCTTAAGAACTTTCTTGAATAGGCTGAAAAACGGCGAACTTAGATATAATATGGTATTTTAGTTATTCTCTAAATTATATATAATAGTTTGTTGTATCCATTACGTTTTAGAACGGTTATATCAATCATTTTAAAGGTATTCTTTGTTCTTTTATTTAGTATTTATTAATTATTAATATTATTGTTTAAGTTTAAAGATATATATCACATATAATTATATAAGATACAATCTATAAGATCGCTGACATTTGAAACGTAAGATGTTCTTCTTCAGAATTTAAATGTTTTGTTCTTAAACAGAAATGAAAGTGTGAATTTTCTTCTTTTTTTGTTTTTTTTCTTTCTTTGAAGTTTAATTTAATCCTGATACGAACAAGATGATGAAACTGGTACGGGAAAAGTTAATTTTCATCGCCCGTACCAGTATTATATTAAACCTCAAAGGAAGAAACAGAACAAAAAAAAAATTAACTCTGAAGAAGAACGTGTTACTTTCGAAACGTCCGTGATCTTATACATTATATATTATATAATTGTATATTGTATACTTTGATAAACTTTAACAATAACAAGAAAAGTCTAAATAAAGAAGGAGACAAAAATTATCTATAAAAAGTTTGCTGTACCATAGGGTTGAATCTGAGAGTACATTATATCGAAGAGTTGTATTGATCTCTACATTATGTTGAATGGTATCATGAATGAATTTCGATACTTTGTCCGGAGCGATGCATATTCAGTTCATAAGCATTTTCTTCGTTATTTTGGGTATCCAAGTAGAAATCCTAAAGCCTCTCAACGTACAACCTATCGATTGATGCAGAAGTTTCCATCGGAAACATCGTTTGAGTTGGATGGAATCGTAGGTTTATTCAAAAAATTCCAATCGATTCGTTTAGTTGTGAATTGAAATACTCATCCAGGTTGTATTCGGATGTCATCATAAATCCTGAAACTGTATGTATCTCAACTCAAAACGTATAGAATGATCAAAATTTTGAAACTCAGTTATAAATCGATTTGATCGGAATTAACTTGAGGGTATCTGTGGTTCAAGTGATAATAGTAAGTATTATCTATTCTAGAATATATAATAATTATTATTTATTAAAGAAAAGAAATTAAATTAAATTTTTGGAAAAGCTTTTGCAAGTTTTTGATTATCAATAGCATATTCTTGTTCCCATCGTGAAACATAAGTTGTATAAATAATTCCATCATCATCAATATTTTCTTTGGCAACCATTTCTAAAACTTTTCTTTGACATGATTTAAATTTGTCAATATTATCTCTTTCACAATAATAAGCATTAAGTTCATCATTTGAACAAACCATTTTCATTTGTTTTTTCCATGTTTTAATTCGATTAAGACGATTTGTATTATTACCAAGAACTTGAAAATATCGATTATAAATTGGTTCTTTTGTTAATTGAATTAATTGATGAAGTGTTGACATACATAATGATGAAAGAGATGATTTGTTCGTTTTTGTTCCATTAGATAAACATTTTTCATTAAATTGACTTTCAGTAAATAAACTAAAAATATTTTCTTCTTCATTTGGACAACATTCAGTTACAGCACGACATCGAACTTCATAAGCTTGACGAGTAGGTATAATTGGCGATCGATCAAGAAATTCTTTATGTAATTTTATTAATTCATTTAAATCTGCTTCAATTGTTGATGATGGAATTAATCCATTTACTAAGACAATAAGAATTGTCAAATAAAGACCAATACGAACAAGCATTATCAAAACTCGACTAGAAAATATAAACATTGACTAAACTATATAGATTTAGAAATCAACTTACTTTTTGTACTTGAAGATAATATATACGAAGACGATGAAGAAAATTATAGATATCGATGTATACAAACAATTTATCTAAAGTTGCAGAAAAAGGAGTAATAAAAAAACATTTCTTTTTTTATCATTTATCCGAAAATCAATGAAAAAAAGAGAAAAAATTAGATGGTAACTCGACAAAGTCGATAGGATGAATCAAAGTATGAAGCACTCTTTTCGCGTTGAATTCTTGATTTTCGAATAGATAATACATCTCGAACAAGGTCTAGAACACTGGAACTATAATTGATTTTATACTTATCGAACTTTCATCTCGAAAACTGTCTTTCTACTGCATCATGTTGTATTTAGAAAAAAAAATTGCTTCAGCACGTAGATCAAAAGAAAATTCTTTTCAAAAAAAGATATCGATGAAATCTCTACGAATACTTATCGAAATTGTCTTTACGCGAATATCTCATGTAACAATTTATATAGACTTAACAAGTTCAATGAAAAAAACAATTTACCTTGTTACGATTAAAACAAGTGAAAAATGTGAATTTAACGAAGTGTCACGTGCATTTTTCCCCATTAAAATGAGATTAACATAAAATAACTGTTGAGACTTCGCTAAAGTCACATTTTTAACGCGCTTTATTCGTAAAAAAGGTTACATTTTCTTTGTTGAAATTGTTCAGGTAATAGAAATTTTTTCATTATGTACTCTTCATTGATCATTTAATTAATGTGATTCAAAGTACTTTATTACAACCAGTCGAGATTTTTTATTTCTTTCGCGAACTCCGCTTGCAAAATTCATTTTCTGTGACGCGATAACATCGAGAACGATACACTGTCTGTTGCTCATTGAAACGTCGTTAACAACATTAAGATCTCTATACAATGTAACTCAATATTCGATTTTCGGTATGATGTTGCGTTCGTCCAAAGTGAAGCCCGAATAACAAAAATAATTGATGGATTTTGCTTTCATTACGTCAATATAATGAAACGAGATTAAGTGGCGATCTTAGTGACGATTGATTATTGTTAACACTAATTATAATCCATCAATCGACAGTTGTGGACATCTTTTTTTTTGTTTTAATTAACAGAACTCCATCGGAGACTAATAGTAATGTCGTTTTTTATGGTTGTGTAGTAAACATCGAGATTGGAAAACATAAAAATTGTTTCTTTATCAAATATTTGTAAAGCATTTTTATTTGAGTATTTCTCATGTGCCTGAAGCATGAATTCTATATAACTTGTGAAAGTACTTCAAACTAAACAAGAGAGAATTCATATAGATTAAGTTTTTGAGAATCACCACCTTCAAAACAGAAACTCAGAAAATAGTTGTTCAAACGCGAGATAAAAGTATCGAAATCGAGAACTGATACCATTTTTTCCAATCTTACTAAGGACAGTCTGAAAGTTTACAGATAGGATTCCAAAACGACTAATTTTTGAGAACTTATTGTTTTTTCAAAGTATCGAGATAATTAAAATGAAGACAGCAACAAAAGTTAGCCAGCACTCTTTATTTATATCTAACGCATCTATGAATACAGTTGATTAGAGGAAAATGAATAATATACATTATTAAACGATCAATCGATATTATTCATTAGAAAAAACATGTTGATTGGCGTTGATGGAATTCCCGTAGTAGTAAATTTATCTATATCGCCTTTTCAACTACGATTGTACTTCGACCAATTGATTGATCAAAATGTAGATTTTCCGATTAATCACGACAAAAAAGTCTGATTTGAGTGAAATAAAAATATCTTTTTGGAAAAAGCATTTCTATGATAAATCATAATAAAAGATTGTTCGTTTTTCATGAGACATCGATTTTTTGGATAATCAATGTTTGTTGTTTCGCACCACATTTTGAAGTTGAGTGAAACTCGAACGCCATTTAGTATTTAAATTAAACTTTCAAGTTGGACATTACTGAATTACATATGATTATTGTTGTATTCGGGCAAAATGAAAGCCTCTTTCACTTGTTTCTATAAACATTTTGGTATCGTTGGATAAATCTCTTTCGAATTTATCGATTTGTATATAATTCAGAGTGGATCACTATCACCAGGAAAGATTGCTATGTGATGACTCCTCAATATGAACGAAGATAATGGAAAAATATTTTCTTGTATGTTTATATATCATTCGATAGAGAAGTTAAAGAGCCTCAATTTGATATACAACTGGATTAGACTTAGGAATGAATGAGTAGGACAGCTACTATCGAAATAAGCTCTACTATTGGAATTGTTAGAGCATTTCGTACAAACAAAACAAGAGTAAGCGAATCAACTCGAGTGCAATGTGGAATGTCTTAAATAGTCGTCTGATAGCCAAAATCATAACATGAGAAAGATAAGAACACGTTCTGAGAGGAGGCCACTTTGTCCACTAGACTTTTCTCTCCTCCTTTGACATTTCAACTAATTCAAGATTTCTATAATACCATAAATGATGAACCCGATGTGGAGATAACAGTTGTCGATGGGTAATTATTTCAACATTTATATTTAATAGAATCTCAATTAAATTAAAAATAAATATTTTAGATCAGGTATAAATACAAACCAATTATTAAGACAAATAAGATTCGATTCAACAACATCAACTTGATCAGAAGCAAATAATAATAATTGAACTGGTGTTGACATTGACATTTGTTTAACAGATACAGCTCGAGTTTTTATCTTAATTAAAATAAAAAAAAAAGTA